CAATATATTTCCCCTCGATTTCTCTCATATGTGCAAGACTAGCTTGTATCCACACCGGGTTTTCATTTTTCGGGTAGACTTTGGGTCTGTGTAATCCAGTTCGGATTTTGTCTCTCACCTTCATTATTGATTATCCAGGTGAGATAAAAGGAGAAGGCTGGAGCATGATGGGGCTCTGGCCTGGGACTCGCGCTGGGTTCACACCTAGGCGTACAGAATATGCGCGTTTGCCGCGTGTTTCGGGCCGCGTGTTTTTACTGCGATTTGCATTAAAAGAAACGCGCGACAAACGCGCGTTTCAGAGGGCTATCCGGCTGTATCCTAATGTATACACACGGCAAATACGCCCAAAAGAAGCTCCTGTACTTCTTTGAGCGTAGGGCGTTTTGCAGCGCGTTCCTACGCACTGTAAAACGCCCAGGTGGGAACCATGCCCATAGGCAATCATTGGTTTTCACATGTTGAGCGTTTTACAGCGCGTAGGAACGCGCTGTAAAACACCCAGGTGTGAACCGGGCCTCAGAGAGTCCTCTGAGAGAGCTGCAGTTTGGACAGAGTTGGGAGTAAAAGGTTGCTGGAAAAAGCTTTTGATTTGTGAGGCGGCCGAGAGAAGCTCACCAGAGAGTGTGATTGTATCTAACAGCCCGTTCTTCCCTATACATATGGTGTCGTATGCACACCCGAGCTGCACATCCGTGTGGGTGTCTGTGCTCAGGCGCACACAGGATCCATCTGGTCTGTGTCAGAGTACGGGCACCCACACGAATATGGAGCTCGGGTGAGCGTACGGCCGCGTCCTCCCATAGGGAAGAACAGGCTTTGTGTACAATCACACGCAGCACCTGTCCTTCCTAGGAGCGGCCCAATGCGGTCGTGCATGCCGCACAGATCACTCTACGCTGTCTGAATGAGGCCTTAAAAGTAAACTTTTTTTTTACGTTCACTGAGGAAAATATTTTTTTTAAATGTATTCCAGTTAAGCATTTATTAAAAATTATTTTGCATCTGTTCACACATGTGTGTCTGCATGTTTGTTTTTTTTTGTGTTAATGTATTTTTCATGCGCTATGCATTTTTTTTTGCAATGAAGGTGAAAAAGTAAAAGGTGGCTGAGAGCTTGTGGTCATGCACGAAAGTGCCTGACAACAGTGGACCATGCCTGTGTAATGTGTGTTGGGACAGCCACATATTGTCTCCTTTGGACGCCCATGTGACAGGGTGACTACACAAGAGTACAATTGGGAGACAAGGACACAGCGTTGTCAGCCTATAACAGGAAGTGCCCAAACAAGGTCCTTTAGGGCTCTCTCATTGATCAACGCAGGCTCAACAGAAGGGCAGATCAACAACAAATGTCTTCAATGTGCCTTGCTGATACCACTCAGTTGCGGTGGAACGCTCTGTGACATACTGCACCGCATGTCACTGCAATGTGTTGCAATGCATAGAGTTGAATAAAATGTCACTTTTATGACATTTCAATAAAGTTTAAAAGAAGAAAAACATAACCAATGCAATGTGTTATAACAACACACCGCAGCGCCCTTCACAAAGCACTTGTGTTATACGGTGCATAACGCAGACAGGATGGTGTGAATTAACCCTTGCAGCAACAAATATTAATTTAATAAAACCTGCAGATTTAAAAATATTGAACGTTACTGGAACTACACCTGTTAAAGCTTCTATGAGGTTTTAGTGTTTAGGTATGTGTGTATATATATATATATATATATATA